AATCATTCATACACACTCATACATAATTTGGGGCCCAGTGTCTTGCTTGCGCAGCGAGAGGAGCCATGGACCTCTACCTCTGAGCCTCTCTCTAGTGAGAGAGACTCTCAAAGCTTGGACAAATAATGTAAGTGTGCACAAATACTGAATTGTTGAATCATTTTTCACAGGGAGATCTTTGAGTTGGACAACTATAGTCCCATCCCAGTGGAGACAGAGGAGGAGTACAAACTGGTAGTCAGCCGCTTTCCCTTCCACGATGCTGAGATAGAGAAGGTAACATGTTCAAGGACCATGTACATCCTAGCAAGATTTCTAGTTCTGATTACTGTATTGCACATGCAGACAGACACATAAAAGAAAAAGATTGAGAAAGAGGTTGGTCCTCAGTAGATATTCACAAAGCTTTAATACTGTGTGTGTGTGTGTATAAGCAGCAGGACTTTCCGAAGAAGCTGCCAATGTCCCAGTCTGTCCCTCAGATCTACATGCAGGTCAAAGAGTTCATTTACGCCAGCCTCAAGTTCTCAGAGTCACTACACCGCAGGTTGGTCTCAAAGGACAATTGCTATACGTTATGTTAATTTTTCAGTATGTGGAGGTGGACACTAAAACACTTATACAGCTCTAATCTTTCTTGTCTCTTTGTCATGCTACTGTAAAATATCTGGACTTGTTCAACTTAAACTTTGTGTGTTCAGTTCAACAGAGATTGACGACATGTTGCGAAAATCAACCAACCTGCTGCTGACAAGAACACTCAGCAGCTGTCTGCAAAACCTCATCAAGAAACCACACATAGGACTGACTGAGGTAAGAACAACAATACTGTTACTAATCACACACACACATCATGTAGACTAAGAATTAAGTCATTGAGTCTAAAATTGTAACCTTCTTTCTGTAGTTGGTGCAGATCATCATTAACACCACCCACCTGGAGCAGGCCTGCAGGTATCTGGAGGAGTTTATAACAAACATCACCAACGTCTTACCTGAAACCGTACACACCACAAGACTCTATGGCTTATCCACATTCAAGGTAACGTGAATGTAATTTGGATTCTTCTTTTTTGTCTGTCTAAAACGTACAGTATATAATTTCTGCTGCTATGGGGTGTAAATAGCGTATGATCATGGGAGTTCACCTTCCCTTGGTTAGGATTCCTTCAGTGTTCATGGTTCAGGAGGTTTCTACCAGGAGCCCAATTATTCACAGAGGTCTCCTCCTCTCCAAAACAAACTGCTAAAAAAACTGAATAAAGAAGTTCCACCTTAAAAATAACTGCTTCTCCCACACTGTTGGGCAGACAAAGGACATCCTGGAGGGTCTGCAAGCCGAGCTGCTGCTAATATTAGCTAAGCTTGTTTCTCTGATAACATAAGATCCAGACGTCAGAAAACTAAAATCCTCAAAAGATTTTAACAGTCGATTGTAAAAATCTTTTCTTAAAACTAAATTCTCACACGTCGTCAAAAACACGTAGCGAACCATGCCTGTAGCTCATGTCGTACCTGCCAGTACTTCCTCATACGACGCTGAGGAAACCACTGTGTTCTAACATAAGCGTATAGATTGAAAGATGGATTCTCATGTGATCTTGTGATGTCTACTGCCTCACAAGGTTTATAATGGCTATCATAACAGTAAATATTGTAATTGTAAATTTGTCTTTATTGACTGTAGATAAAACTGTATTCAGTCCTATTACGTCTTGTCAAAGATATTTATAAAAGCTATTTTCCAGGATGCTCGGCATGCTGCAGAGGGAGAGATTTATACCAAACTTAACCAAAAGATCGATGAGTTTATCCAGCTGGCAGACTACGAATGGGGCATGGCTGAATCGGACGGTCGTGCCTCTGGATACCTCATGGACCTGATCAACTTCCTGCGTTCCACTTTCCAGGTCTTCACACACCTACCGGTGAGTCTGATCCACCTACTGACCTCTGACCCATTGAACCCGCCACTTTTCTCTTGGAACTGGGACATTGTCTTCTCGGTTTTTAGACTGCTGTCGAATGTTGTATGGCCGTGTTGATTGTGTTTTTGTTGATAATAGGGATTTGATCTTTTCATTTGTTTTTCTGTTTTCTTTGTGTTCCCTAAACTGTCCTCTGCTCTTTTGCTGTATGTTTATAACATCCCTATTAAAATGTGTGCACTGTCTGAAAGTGAATTGTTTTACACTGGGAATTTAAAGTTGAACGGAGTATGTGTAGCGTTGGTGATCTGTCCATCTGCATGGTTACTGCTGTTCTTGACTTGTAGACTGCTTTTGCACATACTGACATTATCTTCAACAAGACACATTTGGTGATATCAGAGTGTGACAGACTTGGTCAGTAAATGTGTGTTTTGGCCCACATAGCTGACAGCCACAGCCTGTTCAGTTCCACTCTCAGTGGGCCCTTGCCTGATGTTCTTTCCAACATCTCTTATCTTGCCTTAAATGAGTTTCAACTTATTTAGTTTTTTGTTTTTTAAGAGTGTCTGCTGTCTTCCCACCCACACCCCCTATATAAACAGCGCTGTAACTCATTTGTTTTACTAGTTGTATTCCTTGATTAATTTGACTTGTGAAGCATGCAAGATATCTCTAGTAATTTACCTCCTCCTGTCCATTTATTGTTGCCACATTTCTTTTCCTGTCCTTTCCCTCTTTCCCTCCCCCTTTTCCATTTTTGGTTGGTTTGGGGGTGTCTCTGCTCAGAATAACAACAATGACCATGCGTCGATGTCGGTGAGTATTCCTGCCTGGCTGTTACAACACTATGCTGCCATTCTACAGGCAGAGGGGAGATGAAAAGCATGCTTATGTTTGACTGGGGCAGCTCCATTATTGCAGGCCTGTTGGTTCTACTAGTACATTAGTGAGGACATGGAAGGATGGTGTGTACATTTGAGTTTTAACAATAAATACTCTCAAGTTTGAGTGAGAGAAGACCAAGGACTATCCACCACAGCTGAAACTAAAGCCAGAAGGGAAAGTTCTAATGATAGCACGTATCTCAACCTCTCTCTTGAAATACAAAGTCAATCTTATGTTTTTCCATAAGACATGGTTTCAGTAGCTACTACTACTTCTTTACTGTGTCTCGCTCACATGAGCGTAGCTTTGGTTTCAGAAGTGAGGCAATATCAACTCAAAGCTCCACTTCCTAGCTTCTTCTTAGCTTTTCACCGCATCTCACGGTCTTCAATTATGCTATCACACAATGTTCTCAAGTTCCAGAACGGTCTTTCATGCTCAACTGGAATCATATCTCTCAAATTTAGTGTAAATGGTAAAAAAATTCATTTGAAAATTTGTGTTCAACTAAAAAAAAAAAATTGTTGGCAAGTAAGACTTACTTTATGCACAGAGTAGCTGACTGGGCAGTACAGTGATGCCCTGAGAAACTCATGTTTCTACAAGGAAAGAAAAAACTTAAGTCCAGTGAAGTTGCAGATTGTAACCAAGTAAATACTGTGTGTATAAGTGTGTAGGAGAAACTACAGTGGCAAAAACGCAAAAGGTCCTATCTATAGCTATAGTGTTTGGATTGTCCGTTCTGGGCTACTGTAGAAACATGGTGGTTCCCCACTTGGCTCATTCTAAGGAAGTGGTTCTCAAACAGTGGAGCATACAGCCACTGCAGGCGGGGCATGGATGAAAAATATGGGTTGAAACTAAATTGAATGAATATGATATATCCAGGGAAAATAAACAGTTGCTGATTCTATTGTCGTTCTATTTTACTAAAACTCAACTTGTAACCTTAATTAGTTGCTTCCACTATCATGGTTAATACGTGACATAGGGGGGTTGGGGTGTTAATATTTTTTGTCTACTCAAGGGGGGCACCCCATGCCATGCCATTGTCATCTTCAGGTTATTATACACTAATGAAAACATACCTATGAATATTAAATTCCATTTCTGCCATTTATGAGGATCTCCTCCTAAGACAGATGCTAGTTGTAAACAGGGCCATAGAGGTAGTGAGGGGAAAACATCTGACATGTTCAGGCTTCACTTTCTGTACTACACAAAATGAGACACTTCATAAATTGCTAAGCGATTGGACATATTTCATTCTCGTCCCTTTTAATACCATTATTAAATTCTATATATACCTAGGATTTGTTTTTGTACTGTTTGGAAGAACTGCTTGTCCAGCTGCATTATGGGAAGTATTTAATTAGCCTCAGTATACTTTCTCTCCCCTCACTGCTTTGCTTTTTTTGCTTTTTTTGCTTCGCTTTATTGATTTTCTTTTTAATTTAACGTTAAGTTATGTTCTCTTACTCCTTAGATGTACTGTAGATAACCTATGCTAATGGAATGAATTAGTTCATCTTTTATTTATATTCTTTCTTTACATACAACATCATGGCGCAATTTTAAAAAAATTAGCAGTTTGTGTCTCCCCAAGTAGAAAAAGACACTAGTCCAAGTGAAACAACACTTTAATGAATTACTTTGAGAAAATGTTCAACTTTCTTTTTCAAGCTATTTCTTTCCCCTTCATCACTCTTTATGTGATCAGCCAAGTGTACTATAAATGTCTTAAAGAAAAGATGCAGCTGTATCTCGCCCCGCTTCCTCACAGCATTTTTCTCCCTGCCTTTGAGTATGGTCATTTAGAACAGGTATGAACACTTTTGCCTTTCCATGTGGTCGGACGACACATCATACAGTCGAATTTACTTAACGCACCGCTTACTGCTAAAGAGCCATCAACCACCACAAAATTAGTTTTCACATTTAGATGACTCAGTGTGGATTTTGAGTATGAGCAGGCTCTTCTTTCTGTGGGCATACATAGAGTTTCCCCTTTTTTGCAAATCTTGCCCCTAAGTCAGCTACCCGTCTATGCAGACTCAGAAATTTGCTTTGTGATGTAACAGATGTGCACTCATTAGGCTGAGATGTGATACCAGCTTATTTAAAGAGAATGGACAGCCCTTATCGCTGCCACACCATTTATCACTGCTGTCTCTCTGTCGGTCAGTTGTCAGCATGAAGGATGTTAAAAGGGATGTTGTGGGGCTCAAACAAAGGAAAACTATGTGTGTGTATGTATATATGTA